GCCTCTGAGCCCCACTTACCCCCTTCCTCATCTTTCCCCCCATCTCTCTCCATTATACTTTGCTCCTCTTTTGGACCCTCTTTGTCTCTGCCTTCTTTTCACAGTCCATCTCTGTCAGACCATTAACAATGGTCAGATTCCTGCTTCATTCTTCTTTTCAGTTTTCAGCTTCCTCCCAGATTAAGCAGATTGATGTTGGTGTCTTTTTCAGAACTTCATTCCTCATCTTTTTGCTCCAGACAGGAGGAGTTGGTTACCTTGAAAGTTCTTCTACATGTTCTCCAGTAATAATGTGATGGTAAAACTCCTGAGAACGATAATAATGGTTGGACTCATGCAGGTATTAATTGACCAGACTGTGAAAACCTTTCTTCCATTTTAGGACAGGAAAAATGCAAGATCAATCGTAGCCTCTAAGTGCCCGTGTCCCATAAACTTTATAAATCATCCATTATGTTTATGACTCACATTATGCTTTCTGATTGCTCTCTGTGTTCCTCTCAGCCATGACAGCACATCAGCAGCAGTTTACATCCATGTTATTGATTTCATTTCTGGTTGAAGAGTTCTTAAAGCCCATAAATTCATCAGACGATGGGTCTGCCCTTAAAGCACCGCAGTGCACCATGGGAATGCAACGAACGCCACTATTCTCGCCTCACTTTTCGTTTTCTAATTTTCCACCATGAAGTCCAGATTTGAGTTGGTGTATCATGTTGAACACCTGCTTTTTACAGGTGACCCCCTGGTATTCACAGGAGGTTACAAATCGTTGACACCCATGAACTACCACTACAGGGGTTCAGCCAATCAGCACCAATGAAAATTAAATAAAAGTTCACAAACCATTTCTCCTGTTAGACTGCCCTTTTGTTTTGCTTGCGTTTATCCAGAATGCTTTGTGCTATAGTCCAATTCCTGCTTTTGGAGCAGTCTCTGGCCCGCTTGGCGTTCACATTTGCATTCGAACCGCACTAAAAACCGAGACCAGGGTTTTTAGGTGGATCAGGGTTCACTTTCTTAGTCCACATCATGGTTCGATTACACATTCACACCTGGCCAAACGAACCGTACTTTTTAGACAAATAGACTGGAGTTGGATTAAAGCAAACCTAAACGGGTCTGGTGTGAATGTGCCGTAAGTCCCTGGATTATGAAGCAGTTTTAATGTCAGTTTCTTCTCATCCAAGACTTGTATTTCAGTCAGAAAGTAGCTCCAGCTCCTCATCACAAGCATCCCATATTTTCTTGAGTTCTTGTAATTAATTTCTAGGAATTGCTTTCATTCATAGGTATTAAACAACTTGTATAATGTCTTTTCTAATTCACCAAGCGGACATGTTAAAACCTCAGAGATGCCAGAAACTTGAACACTCTCATCAGTCAGACGGCTTTTTGTCTGTTTTGCTACTTCAGTAGTCTTAGAGGATGTCCAGACCCGGGACATCAGGTGTGCCAGGTGGGGGTCTTAATGTGACCTTGCAGTCCGTGTCTGTATTGATTATGCAGAGCTGTGTGTGAGTGTGTTTTGCAGCCTTATTGGATTTTGTTGTGTATCAGTGTTGTTGCGTTTATCTTTTACAGATCAGTATGTTGCTGCTGCTTAGTGACCTTTATTTCACATTTTATCGTTCTATTTATTTCCCTTTGTTGGTTTCAAATCATCCTCTTGCCCTTTTGGATTTCTTTGTGACGAAACCATTTCTGTCTGAGCTGAACATGGTTCTGTAGACAATCTGATTTTCTGAACCAAGTTATTAGTTTTTTGTTTTGTTTTTTTCACAGAAGGCCTGGCTTCAGGGCCTGAATGTTTCATGGTTCAATTTGCGGGAGTGTCGGTTTGATTGGTTTTTGATTTGCAGACGGAGACAACATGATTCAGAAAACACACTCTTGAGGTTTTTGTATTTGTGCTTCACACAAGCTAAACAAAATGTACTGAAACCGTCTCCTCTTAGTGTAAATTCTTTTTATTAAAATTTTTCTACATTTCTTTTTGGATTAATTAAAACATAGTTATGCCATAAAACTTTAATTAATAAAATTGAGGCTCAGACTTAGTCCACTTTAATCAAACTCCAGTTTGTTTGTCTGGACAATCTGGTTTGTTTAGGGAGGTGTGAACGCCAAGCAGACCAGAGACTGTGCCAAAACCAGGAAGTGGACTATAATGCGCTAGTCTAGCGCTAGCAGAGAAATATCTCATGGTCTTTTACCAAAGACAAAAGAGAAATCCTACATCAACTAAAATCAGTTTACATTTGGTGAAGAAGGAAGTTGTGCTCATTCAGTGTCTTCTTCAGAGGATTCTGTCATTTCCTTCAGTGGTTCTTGGTGCAGCGCCACTACAGGCGAGAAGGGGAATAGGTTTTGGTAACACTTCATTTGAAGGGATGTCCATAAGCCTGACATAACGTCTGTCATGAACAGAAAGAGTCTACATAAATGTTTACGACTATCATGAAGTGTCATTCAGGAAATAATGACACCCTTAGTACAAAACTGCACTAAAAGTTGCATAAAAAGTCAATTAAAAGTGCCAACTTTGCATTATTTCTTAATATAATGACACTTTTAAAGCAAAGTTCCATTAATATTTGCATTAAAAGTGTCTTTATTTACTGGATGACACTTCATAACAATAATCAAAGACAGTCATGTAGACTCCTTCATGTCCATGACGCATGTTGTCATGTTGGTCCAATGTTATCCAGGTTTTTCAATCGGCCTGCTTTGTTTTACGCAGTGCAGTGTGAAAGAGAGCTGCAGCAGCTGGAAATTTAACAAGAAATATTGTTGTTTTTTCTCCAATCGAACCGAGTCTACTGGACTATCAGGTGTGAAATCTCCCTAAAACGTAACGCGACGTCTAAATTCAACCTCAACTGACTTAGCTACAGACAAATATATGAGCAATATTAAAACGCCTACATACACCAGTGCATACATTTACATGCAGCAGTGCTGCCAGCCGACTCCAATGCAGTCATGCTGCTGAGCAAGATGATGCCGGGAGGATTCATCCGGCTGTGATTTATGAACGACCTGCTTTACATCCCGAGCAGCAGCAGCCGGCTCTGAATCATTGACTGAAATGATCAAAGAACTACGCTGAGCAAGAGGAGATCCTCTAAATTATCTTAGGAGGAAGTGAACCAAATTGATTTTCCTCTTTTTAATAATCTACACAGATTCCTTGGAACGGGCGCACGCTGTGGCTGCAGTTGTCCCCTGAAGGCGATGAGCTGAGGCGGGGCTGTACAGATGGGTGTGTGTGTGTGTGTGTGTGTGTGTGTGTGTGTGTGTGTGTTTGGGGTGGGGTTTTGGGATAGGCTCCATCTCCTACAATAACCCGTATAATCAATGTGTTACACACACAAACCTGCAGATAATGATCACATTGTTTGCTTTGTCTTATGAGTCCGCAAAGCGTAATCTGATTTTTGCACCAATCCCGCTAATTTAGGCAAAATTATAATATGGATTATTCAGATTGAGTTTCAGCCAACTGCTTTATGCTAAATCATGTGACTCTTGTAATAAATGTCACTAATCATATATTTTTTAACCTTTCTGTCATCAAAGGCATTTCTTTTCACCTGAGTCACATTTTGCAAATGACGGTTTAACAATTGTGCTTTTATTGTTCAAAGAAGTGTTACTCATTCTGGATTTTTCCGCAGTTTTTTAGCGAAGCGGCGCACACAGAAACCGCAGGTTGAATCATCGCTCCATCACTCAGGATTTAACGCCACTCTGCTTTTCTCCATCGTTGGTTGTCGTCTCGGGTGAACGTCGGAAAAATCACATCCTTAATCACTGCCAAGAGCTGAATGCTCTCCGATTCCTGGCATCCATCCCAACGCCATTAATCTGAGTTAACAGGTTGGAGTAGCAGGAATTGATTTAGGTTGGAATAATTAAGGTGTTCTGATCTGCTTGACTCAACATTTTGTGTTCCTTTCAAAATTATCAGCAGTTCTTGAGAACATTAGTGAAATGGTAGTTTTGCTTAAATTTTTTATATTTTGCATTTTATACTAAAAAAAACGAACACTTTTTCGCCTACAACCTTCGGTGTCCGTTCGTTTGAAGTTGAAGTGAATTCTGGTGCAATTTGAATGCAAATGCGGAAAAGCAGGGAGTGGACTACATTGCAGGGCATTCTGGGTAAATGCAACAAAAACAAATGTGAGTCTAGCGCTAGCGGGAGAATAATTGATGAACTATAGATGAAATCCTGCAAACGCTAAAATCTGATGCCACTTAATTTTTGTTTACATTTTGTGAAGAAGGAAGTTGAGGTCAGTGTCTTCTTCAGAGGTTTTTATGTTGTTTCCTTCAGTGGTTCTTGGTGCAGCGCCCCCACAGGTGAGGAGGGGAACAGCTTTTTCAAAAAGTTTTGTTCAATTGACAGTGCACCTGGAAATGTAGCAAATGTTGAAATTTTCCTGCACTACCAGGTGTGAAAACACCCTAAGGCCTTGAAATGTTGCTTTGTTGAAACATTTATGCCTACTTCATGTTGTCAGACAGGTTCAGTTGAAGTCATTTCTAGTTTTTACCGGCCAGGTGGAAACAAGGTTTTGGTATGGCTGCTGAACTTGCTTTCTGATTGCTTTCTGATTCAGCTCATCTTTGGCTAATATTAGGACTATTTTGGTCTGAAACCTCTCAAGTGTAACCAAACAGAAAACAAAAACCCCCAGAAGAAATCTGACACGACTTCGAGTGAAGCAGGAACACGACTGACTGAGGTTTAAAATTAGAGTGAAACAGACATCTAACAGATCCCCTTTGTCTGTACCTGAGCTGTAACATTACACCAAACACTGAACTATTGAAGTGTGGGGCTTTTGTATTTGTCATGCTGTGGGAACAAAGATGTGTGTGTGCGTGTGTGTGGACATGCCCCCCACCATCACACAGTCTGTTCCTCAGTCACGCACCCTCTTTCCTTTCTCTCTTCTCTGCTTTACCTATGTTTAAATTAATTCTGTTTTCATTTAGTTTCTGTCACTTTCCTCATCCCACCTTCCTCTCAACACCATCCCTCTCTCCTCATGCTTTCCTGTTTTCTCTCTTTCTTTGTTTTTTGTGTATCCTTTATCTGATGTTTTGGCCATGTCCTCCTCTTCTGAATCACCATCTGCCTCCCTCCTTCTCTCCCTCCCACACAAACACTCACACACTTTTGCCACATGACAAAAGACGTTCTATTTTTGCCCCCCAAGCAGCTTTTTTCTGAGGTGGTCGTTAACTAATTAAAGTTCTGCATGTGTTGGCTGGATGGATCAGCTGTGAAAACAGCTCACAAAGTTTTATCACTTATGCTTCGTCTGGGATTGGATTCAAACTGTGGATTAAATTCATTTTATGAGCTCAAATGAGTTTCTGAAGCGGCAGCACAGCGACAGATGACCGAAGGTGATTATTTTGGCTTGTGTACTTTAATGAGAGTGAATGAACTTGTCATCCACTGCTGCCCTATGCCAGATTTATTTATTCACAGAATGTCCGTGCATCCTTAAAAAGTCTTAAATTAATGTCTTATAATGACTTAAATTCATAAAATAAAGTGTAAGTACCTTACATGTGTTAATTTTGGTTTTAAATTTTGTCATAGGGACTTTTCTGCCAGGCAAAAGTTTGATTTGCACTTAAACATCTTCATTGCGTTCTGTAACTCGAGGCAGTTGTGGCTACTGCTAACTAGCTGCTAAAATACCCTTGCTAGCTAGCTAGTGTTGTTTGTGTCTATCATGGGAGATGGACTGGACACAAAGGGAGCAACAAAATCATCACCACTTGGGGTAAAACCAAGTGGTGTGGGAAACAACAACAACAAAATAAAATTTTCCAAATTATTTTTCAGTCGATGTATGCTTATGCATGCTTTCAGTTTATGCATTGATGCCCAAATCAATGCCTTAAATTCATAAGGCACTTATGAATTTAAGTGCCTTAAATTCATAAAACACAAAACTTAAATATGTTAATCGAAGGTCTTACATTTTGTTCTGGCAGGACTATTAGTCTCACATTCATAGTTGTTGTGTTTTTTTCTTTTTTTCTCGCGTAACTTGCTGTTGGGCAAAAATCTGAGTCACATGCAGAGACATCTTCACTGTGTCCTATGACTCGATGCGGTTGCAGCTAACGCTAACTAGCTGGTAATATACAGAGCTATCTTTTTTTGCGTCTATCATGGATGATTGATGACATAATTTTTCTGTCAGGCAAAAGTTTAAGTCACAAGCAGAGACATCTTTATTGCATTCTGTGACTTGAGGCAGTTTAGGCTACCGCTAACTGCTAATACACCCATGCTAACTAACTAGGTATCTGTTTTGCATCTATCATATGTGATGGGGTTAAGATGGGTTAGAGAGCCAATATTCAGCATGAGAAACTCCAGAAATTTCACTTTTGGCTGAAATTTCTGCTTAATTATAATACAGCAGAAGCCACCAAGCATCCTCTATACTTATAGTTTTTTGCTTCATTCACAAAAAAGGTCCTAAAAAGTCCCGAATTTAACTTTAAGCTTTCTGGCTTAAACCTCTCAAGCTTTTGCTGATATTTGTTGAATGCAATATTTTTATTGTAAGGGTAAAATGATTAGAGGAACTGCACCAACATAGCAAAGGATTTTTATGCTAATACACTTGAAAATCGAATAGCTGACTTTGTGAGATTGTATAGAAACAGACTTGTTTTTCAGTGGATGTATGCTTATGCAGGCTTTCAAATGTGGTCTGTAAATTATGTTAAAATATACGTTTGAAGTCTGCGCCCTCGGGTTTGAGTCTGCAGACAAACGAGACGGTTTCATTTCTCGTTCTGTCATCGGGGCTTCAGTCATAAAATGAAATGAGATGCAGTGAGATGGTTCAGTCTCCTGCTTCAATAGTTTCTATTTTTGTTGCTTTATCTGTTCAGAAAGAAAGCCGCATTAAACCTCCATTTGTCCTCAACCAATTCCTCCTTAGTCTCTGTTCTGTTTATGTCTGGTATTTATGTTACCCGTCAGCACCAGCTAGCGGCTCTGTTGGATCCGGATGCCAGGAGGTGCATTGCTCCCCTCGGCTACGAGGAAACCAGACCCCCTGCTGGGACTGCCAGCACAGCTTTCCTAAATGTCTGGAGCTCAGAAGTTAGGTTTTTATTACTTCAATGCAAACATTTCAGCTGCTAACGTTTGTAAAACCAGACATTTCTTGTTATCTGAATGAAACTTAAAGTAAAAATATGTGGATTCTGGTTTTTGCGGCGGTTACAGACTAAAGCTGCCAGTGAGTCGCTAAAATCCACAAATACTTTAGATTTCCTCTAAAAAGGCTGACACTGCAAAAACACAAAATCTTCTTACCAAGTATTTCGGTCTAGTTTTTAAGTGCAAATATATTAGTGAGCTTGAAATAAGACAAAACTAACCTACAAATAACTTTCAGCAAGATACAGGAGCCTGATTAAGTCAATCATTTTTTAATATTGATTAAAAACTGGAAGACTTTTCACTTGTAACCATGTTATAAGGGAGAAAATCTGCAATAACTATTTTTTTATGAATATGAATCCTTTTCTCCTCTCCTCTCCTCTCCTTTCCTCTCCTCTCCTCTCCTCTCCTCTCCTCTCCATGGCCGAATAATCACTCCGAATTATTGAAGATTATGTAACCATGTAGAAGAGCAGGCAGCTCTGCACAGGTAAAAGGCTTTTAACTGAAATCTCTGTCCTGTTAATTTGACTCAGCCGCTGAGAAATAAACAGTCGGTGCAGCTGATTATGTAAGAGCAAACGGAGGAAATTTGGACGGTGCTGTTGCTTATTTAGCAGCTTGTCGGATTCCTCAGAGCAGCTGAAGGGAATCCGGATTCACCCACTGGTTGTCTACATGTCTGTCCATCTATTGTTTCACACTGGAAGTTATGCAAACGCTTTTTATTTTAGTCAGATTTTAGTTGTATGTAAGACGTTATTAAATGTGTGTCCTGTTCCAGTAAGTGTGTCTGCTTCCCAGGAAGTGCTGACGCATTCCGGCGTCCGTCTCTTCAGATGTGCCAACGTGAATAATGAATGTCTCTATATGTAGGCCTGCACACATTAGATGGATAATGGAATGGAAAATTAAATTTTATTACATACATGGATAAGATTTGAAGACTTGGTTTGTTTCTCCGAGCAGCAGCTTAATCACATCCTGAAGTGCAAAACTGATTTGATATGAACGAAAATGGAAGAAATTTGTGTGGAAACCAAAAACATCCCATGATTCAACAGTATTTTTTCCTGTCTCCAACTGTTTTTTTTTTCTTTTTCTTCACGGTGCCGAGTCCCCATCGGGGGGGAAAGGCCAGAATCCTCCACCACTATGCCGGCCCAAAATGAACATGAGTTTAAAACTCTTTCTGTGGAATAAATGACTTTAAATGGTTCATAGCATTGCTGCTGTTGTTCCTCCTCAGCATTGAACTAAAACGCGTCTGCACGCTTCAGACCAGCAGACAAACATCATTCCTGGTTTTATTTCATAGTCGAACCAAAGTAGGTCAGTTATTTGGGTCCTTTAATTTGCAGCACCTGGTTGGTTCTGACCCACTTCAATCCGATGGAAACGGCAAATTCCTATTTTGGGTTCACCTATGTTTATAAATAAGAACCAGGTGTAATCGCTGTACTTGTGCTCTAGAGGAGAGACTTCAACTAATTTTGTAATCTTTTAATTGTTAACTGGAGTATACAGATGAAATAGACCAGAAAAATAACACAGTCAGAGCTGCAAAACTGTACAAAATATATATAAGTTTTTAATTTAAGATAAAAAAAAAAACCTTTCTCTATAAAAATGTTCTTCCCAGAACTCTTTAGGTGTCATAATCTTAGCTTCACGTGGTTCAAATTCTGCTAATAAATGCCTTTTAAGCACCTTTTTCTGTCTAATTATTAATTTAAAATAATAAAAAATAGTCACCAGATCAGCTCCACTCTGTACCGATCAAGCAGGAAGGACTGAGCTTTTCACATGTTGATGATGGAAGTACTTTCAGCTGCAGATTCATCCTTTGCTACAAATTATCAAGTGTTTACTATTACAATTTAGACAATAAAATGTTTATTTTGTCATTCAAAAAGGAATTGAATAGTTTATTTTCTTCATTTGACATTTTAATAAAGGCTTAAGAGGTTAAATGAAAAATCTGCAGAATGTGGCAGTTTTCTTTATCCAATTAACCGTCAGAATAATCAATAATTAAAATAATTATTCTGTTTCCATTAGAACTTATTCAGCAGCAGAATATTGCTGCTCATCTGATTGACCTTTTTGTTTTGTTTTCCTCATCTTGGCTCTCTTTGCAGATTTAATAGTTCTGAGTCTGACTCCTCGGAGTCCAGATTAGGTATCTGAAGAGGGATGAATTGGGATTAATGGGTTTTCCAGCCCAGATCACCTTTGTAACTCAGAATTAGTTGGATTTGACAGCTCAGATGATTTGAGACTCAGAGTCTCTGTAATCATCTCTGCAGGGATCTTGATCTAACTCAGGATATCATCTACGGTCTCTGACAGCATGGTGCCTCCTCATCACTCACACACTCCTAACACACACCGGGTTTCTGTGTGTGTATGTGTGTGTGTGTGTGTGTGTGTGTGTGGTGCTGCAGGAGGAGTCTGTCATCTTCCTCAGCAAATCAAGGCTTTTACTCACCATGTTTACACTGTCTTGGTACTCCTTTTAAATCACTGTCAGAAAATGTTTATTTTGCTTTAGATTTGTTGCTTTTTAATCTTAAACTTTAGATGATTTCATCACCTGAACATGTTAAGAAGTTTTGTGTTTATATAGTTGCTGCTTCTCTTCCTTTTCCCTTTCTTGCCTTTAGTGATAATATGACCGTAATACCTTAGTGGCCAGATGCAGAAAGCTAAAATGTTTTGTTTACTGTGCTATGTTGGAAAAAAGCAGAGGAAATTTAAATGTCTCTTTTTTCATGATTTTGTGCAAAGTTTGAGTGATTTGTATAGAGTCGTATTTGGTCAGTTAGAATAGATATGTTCCAGTGAGGCTTATTTTTCTATGACAGAATAAGGAAAAGATAAATAGGATAAAGTCAGGATATTAGAAAATATTTGTACAAGAATAAAGTCATGATATTACCAGAATAATGTTGGAATATTAGAAGAAAGACGTATTTATTTTACGGGAACACAAAAGATAGCCAAAATTAAAATCAGGAATGTTGAGCGTCTTATTAAGTTATACTTTATTATAATTTTTACAGATAATGAAATTAGCTTGAAATTTGATACAATTGTGCGAACCACTATCTGTGTTTCAGAAGCAACCACACAAACTCACCAAGCTGATAACTCTCATCAAAACTTGTTTTCCTCATTAAAATGACTGATGTCACTCTTCTGCTAATGCTGCATCTTTATTCTGACAATATTGTGACTGTCCTTGTAATAAAAAAAACAAAATAATCCCCATCTGATCCTCATATGCCATCGTATTTTTAAGCTTGTGTGTTGTTCGTGTGTGTGTGTGTGTGTGTGTGTGTGTGTGTGTGTGTTGTGTAGTAGACAGTATGGGATTGTTTGGAAACCGGGTTCCGCTGAAACTGGAAACTGACAGCAGTGTTTGAAATTTGAGACATCTGCCATCTCCGTGTGTGTGTGTGTGTGTGTAAAGCAGACAATAAAGACTCCGTCACTTCCTTCTAAACAACGACTGTTTGTATGCGAGATGGCTACAAACACACACCTTCTCTAAGTGCTTGCCGCCCTTCGTGTGTGGGTGACGTTCCCCCTCTGGGGTTATGGTGCCGGATTAAAAGACCCAAATGGTTCTGGGACATTTGGATGCATTTGTGAACTTTTACTGCTTCCACGTGTGACTCACCTTCTGACACCAAGCTGATGTCACCGTCTGCGGGAGGCAGGACGGGTTAAAAGTCCACATGGCTTCACGGTTTCAGTCTCGCTCTTGGACCGACACTCTGAGCAGGTTCAACGTTTTTCTTTTCCTGCTGAAAAACTTCTCAAATTGTTGCTTGCTTTTATTTTTGGGGTTAAAAATTGAGCTCTAAACTTAAATAAGGTAAGAACTAGAAGCCGTTTGTTGATGCCGAGTATTTTTTAGTTGTATTTCAGATGCAGATCTTCATAAAGCTGAAAAATAACATTAGATACAGGGTTTACCCAGTGTATTATAAGCCTGGTGGGCCTCCAGGCTTTCCTTGCTGCCAGGCTAAACATAATTTGTTTTTATATTTTAAATAGGGATTCCTTATTCACCAGTAACAGTCATAGCAAAGACTGGTTAAACTGGGTTCACCAAGCTGCAGACATTACTAAACAAAACAAGGATCTAGAAAATGTCAAGATCACTTGAATTTAGTAACCTAAGAATATTTAATCTTAGCTGCCAAAGATTAATATTATTTTTATTGAATTTCATTGCCTTTTTTAAGACTGTAGTTGGTGTTTAAGTTTTGTAAATGGTCTCCTAATAACACAATGTTGTGAAATTTTCAAATTTCCTGTAAACTTTTGACATTTTTTTTTTTACTTTTTTTGTGGTTAACTCTGAAATAGAACAAGAAAGCAGCTTTAATAGTTCTTAGTTTGCAGGTGTTGGGTGTTTTTTTATTTTGAGATTTAAACCCATCTGTAACAGCACAATTAGCATTTTTAACAATCACATTTAAAATCGTGCGGCGCAATCAAAACCCTGTAAACAGACAAGCAGCTGCACAAAACACAGCTGTGTATGAGACGAGTTCAGTCTGAAGCTGCAAACTTTAGAGGAAATGTTTTATAATTCAAGCTCAACGTCCAGTCTCTGTTCAGAGTTAATTCAGTCTCTTCTAATAGTATTTTCTATTTTAGTCAAAGTGAATTATTTAGTTGGCTTTGACAAATTTAGTGCATCAGGAGCCGTTTCCGTTTATGCATTCAGGTGGAAGGATAGAAATATTAAGCAGCTTTCCTGTACAAACAGCTGAAAACACATTGAAAAAGTTTTTCTTTTTTATTGTGTTTCCTGTAAATTTCTGTAAATTTAATGTTTTCCTCTGTTTGTTGATTTGCTCGTGTAGCTCTGACCTACATACATCCTCCTCCTCGTGACTCTCTGTGTTCACTGGAGCATTTATAAGAGGTTAGCTCCTAGCTTCAGTGTTTGATTGTGTATTTCTGTGTGTGGCAGAACCGGTCATTACGTTGGCTTTTTTTTTTTATTTGCCTCTCAGCTGTGTGTGCAAACTGCAGGTTACACTTACACATCAAAGTGGATAAATGTGGTGTTATCTTTCGACCAAGACTCATTAAGCTCTGAGTCAGTACACGCATGTTAACAGAAAAAACATACACTGTGATTTAGTCAGCTTGGTGTTTGTAGATCAAACTGACCGCTCTGAGCAAATGGAAACTCTGTCCATTTATTTCATTTTATTTTAGAAGATTTTCCCTCGAGTGGAAGGAAATTTTGTTCCATTAACTAAAGCATTGACGTCTGACATCCAAAGAAACGCATTTCCTCACTCTTTTTACAGACAGGATGTGCATAAAAATGCAGATATAATGCAGATTATTCCAGCTTTTACAGTGAAATAATCTAATTTACTTACTTTATGTCTTTATAGCAGATCACAAAAGCTCTCCGTACCCAGTTATATGGAAATATTTGATTGTAATTTTGACAATCGACATACTTCAAACTCAGTGGGCGGGGCTAATGCTGCTCTGATTGGTCTGCAGTGGACTTCCTGTACAGGCCGACCAATCAGATGTGAGTTGCACCATATGATGAACAACCAGGACTGTTTAAAGTATTTTATGGAGCACTGCAGCCCAGAAATCACATAAAAAAACAATAATGGTAAATGACTTTAACATATAGTAACTTTTAAGCAATGCGTTTCACATGCAGTTGTTTATTTCATAAATTGACACATTATGTGTATACATGTATGTATGTGTTTATTTTTTTTAATGTTTTTGTATTTCTGTTTTCCAGCCGTTTTCTGGAAATAAGTTGATGTTTTTTAGTGTCTGGACTAAAAAACATCAGGTTTCAAAAACCTCCCAATTATGGCGCTGCCCGTCACCTAGCAACCCAGCACGTTTGCTCAGCTGGTTTTATTGCTGTATGCGCTGTACAATGGCTGCTGGAAAAGACAAGTGTTTTATTTGTTGACTTAACATCCAGAAACCACTTGTTGCACTCTTGTTGGTTTTGCAGGAGGCTCTGCTAATACTTTTCAAAGATATGCCGTTGTACATCTGTTTGCAGGCATTTTCATGTTAAAGTGTGAACTTTAAGTTGAGGGGCTTGGCTAGCAGCAGGTGATTCTGAAATGAGCTCAAAAAGTGAAATCTCATTATGTGAGAACGAATTTGTTTTAAAAAATATTATTAAACATATTTTATGTAGCTGATTCTATTCTAACTTGTTTCTTTTAATTATGAACTAGAATTGTTGGTTTATTCTTTTATCTCAATAATCTGCCAAATGAGATTACATTTTAGCAACAAGGCAGTTAAATGCAGCTAATATCAAAGTTAACAACGCTGTGACTGGATCCTAATAATTTGGTGAATATTTACTAATCTTGTGTTTGATTGGCTGACGTTTCATCCTCTGACAGCATCGTCCCTGTGATTGGTCTGTTTCTGTGCAGGAGCGGCCAGTTGCAGCCTATCTGAAGATGTCTGATAATGGGGAGGTCGAGGACAAGCCTCCAGCTCCTCCCATGAGGAACACCAGCACCATGATCGGCTCCTGCAACAAGGACCCCACGCCCCTGAACCACGGCTCCAAGCCGCTGCCGCCCAACCCGGAGGACAAGAAGAAGAAGGACCGCTCCATCCGATTCATCCTCACCGGGAGCGATAAGAGTGAGGGCTCTCCACTCATTTTCATTTTGGGCCACACAGGATCACAAACGTCCTCCATGGGCCGGTTACGGCCGATTGTATGATAGAACCCATTAACAGACTGGTAAAATATTGATAAATAGCTGCATTCAATTACCACTGCTTAAAAATAAATATTGAACATCTTTACATTGATTTAATTTGGCAGTAAATCACATATCACAATAATCAGTTAATCAATTAATCACGGGAATCACGGGATAAATTAAAACCAGCTCAGTAATTTCCATCTGCATGGTTTATTGTTTTTCTCTTTCTACCAAAACTGGGTGATAAAAGTCTTCAGTTTGGTGTTTTGGTCTCAACTATCCCTTTTTTGAAGGACAATTTTGTTTACAGAGATTTTATAATTGATTTTATTTGTTGTTTCTGTTTATTTTGGATATTTAAAATGTTTTCCAGTTTAAAACTATAATTGTTATTCTTAGTATCAGAGTCGACCAGTAGGCAGAAGACACGCTCTAACCTTTTGTAATTTATCTTTTTCTACCTTTTGCAGCTTCCATCTTCGCGTTAGAGCAGAGTAGGACGGAGTACATCTGTCTGGCCTTATTGTGTCAGAAAAACTTAAACTCTTCTGTCTATTACAAAACTCCTGCTTAATAGAGGTGCTCTAGTCCTGACTTTCCTCACCTACATACATGGATTATTTTCTTAGACAGAGCCAGGGTTTCATATAATTAGTATTTTATGCACCATTTAAAGCATGAACTTCAGTTACACTGTAAAACATTTTAAGGTGGTTTATCTTGAAAATGAAAGTCCACCTGCTGTCCTGAAAATGTAATTAAAGTCGACAAGAAATTGTTTTGGTTTTAACTCAGAAATTAAAGTTCATGAAGTTGATTTAATAACATGAGACAAGTTGTCTAAACTTTGTTTTTTAAGTTAATTAATCTTGAATTGTGAGTTTTAACTTAATGCTGCAATTTAAACCAAATAATTTCACAATATGCAAGAAAAAATCTGCTAGTTAAAACAAATGTTTCTCTAGTATTTTCACTCAGAATAACAAGTTAAAGTAACTACTTATTTTACTTTAGAATAATTTCAATTCTTGTTTTAAATTGCATGAACAAAATTTCTGATCTGATGATGAATTTTATTAAACATCACAATTAATTCAGCTCAAAAACATTTAGTGTGGGGTGTGCTGTGGTGGCGCAGGGGTTAAGCACAACCCACATATGGAGGCCTCAGTCCTCCACACGGCTGCTGTAGGTTCAATTCCCGGCCTGGTGACCCTTGCCACATGTCTTCCCCCTTCTCTCCTTAGCCACTTTCCTGCCAATTAACTATCAAATAAAGGCCACTAGAGCCAAGAAAACCTTAAAAAAAAACATTTAGTGTGAACTAAATTAGTTCCCACTCCTGTCTTTTTCTTCTTTCAGTTTTTTTATAAGTGCTAATCTAAAAACTCCAATTTATTCAACTCTAATAAAATGTTAACACAACTTACTACTGTAAGATTATCTTCCACAAACTCACGTTTAGGTTCAAAATCTTAAACTCGCTAAATTTATTTGACTTAAAGAGCAAAAGCTAGTAGACACAACTAAAGGTGACTCAAATGTTTTACAGTTGGTGTTAAATCACACATTTCCTGTTGAGGTGAGAGGAGGAAGATGTGTGGTTCCTCCTTCGCCACCCAGCTCGTTGAAACGCTCTGAATAACTCAGTCCATGATAATCTGCAGAGCTTTTTTTGTTCCTCCAGACCTGATGAAGATTATCAACGCGTTGTTTGTTAATCCTTATTAAAGCCGACATGAAGGCTTAACTTTGATCTCAGCAGGTGTTGCTCTGGCTGCAGTTCTGACACTCACTCACACACACACACACACACACACACACACACATACACACCTCATTCAGCAGGAAACATGTTTGTTTTATTTAATAAGTGTTGCCGTACATGAAAATAAGTCTTCTTAAAAATGAAGTTTTTGCTTTTTTCAAACTCACCTACAAGTTTAATATTGTTAAAATTGAAATAGGGCCGAGTAATTTAAAAAAAAGCATTTGGGCAAAAGAAACAAATAATCGGATTAACAATGATCAATCAATTATTAGAATAATTACAAACTTATTTAGTAATTGATTAGTCCTGAGCTGGAGCAAACACTCAAAAACACACTAGTAGTAATTAAGCTAAAACTGTACAAACAAAATGTACAGTTTCAATTAAAGATTAGAAACCTTCTTTGTAAAGGAAAAAATCCTATGAAGCATCTTTTTCTAGTTACTAATCAGTTAATAAAATAATCAACAGATTATCCCTGCACTATTAGAAATGTTAGTTTAGCTGCAGATGAATCCACTGCTACAAATGATCAAGGATTCACTAAAGAACTGCTTTGTTGCAGTAAAATGTTTACTGAATAATTATTTGTTTATTTGCATTTTTTATTTATTTCTGATGTTGCATAAAAAATCTTAAGTGACTAAATGAGAAATCTCAGAATACTCCATTAGTAAAATAATCGTTTTCAGATTTTAAAGTCTAAACGACTTTGTAACCTTTTGGGACAGTAAGTTTCTCATCTGCTCTTGACTTTCCATAAATGTGAATTGTTGCTTTTTGTAATCTTTTAGAGCTGTTCATGAATCCCTGCTGTTTGCACAGTTACTGCTGTTTTGTTTGCCAAAAGGCAATTTAAGCTTAGCAATAACAAATTAGCCGCTCGCCTGTCAGCCTTCATAAGAGCACATATCAGTGGTTAACCTGCGCATGAACCCAATCGGGAGGATGACGACTTTCTCTTACCATTTTTATTATCAGAGTGGAAAATAATAGTTTAGCATCAAACTCAAGTTGAGATAAGTTGCAGAGACTTTTTTATTATGTTAAATAACGACCAAAGAGAGCGCTGCTGCAGAAGAAGTGAAGTCTCATGATGCTCTTCCTCTTCCACATAACTGAGCAATGAAGGCGTGAAACAAAAACATGGATGCCAGACGAGCCGTGCACACCTCTGCATGTGCACAGAGATCCGGATGAAAACTGTTTCAGATGCTTCAAGTTGGAAAGCTTCAGCCTGCTGCTTTTGTAAAATGGCATTTTATTTTCGTTCCTTTTCCTGTAATGTTATAATGTTATAAGTCTGTGATCCACACTTATATAAATATAGCTAAATTCTAATTCAGTTGAAAAATACTTAATTGATCCCAAAGGGAAATTAAATTCCAAATTCTCCAAAGAGTTATTGTAGATGCTGATGGCTGTGGGCAGGAAAGTTCTCCTGTAGCAGTCTGTGTTACAGTCTGCCTGGAATAAAACCCTTTTACTTATTTATTTTGTTAGGCTAATTTACGCCACATGTCCACATCCAGACAGATTACCCATGATGCCTTGCAGCCGGCTGGTGGTCCTTGCATTGTTCGTCATCCCATGAGGATTTGGAGTTATGATTTCCCTCAGGAATAAATTACAACATATGGCGTCTCCGTTGTTATAATTCTCTCTAAAACTGCTCTTTATGTATTTTTTATGATTAATTCTCTCTTTTATTGTCTTTTTTTTCCTCCTCCTTCTTATTTATTCACTTACCACAAAGGTTTGTCCCATGAGGGATTTCTATTACAGCTGATTTAATAACTTGATGGCATCTTGGCCTTTTGAGGTCCGGTTTGCAACAAATCCATCTCAGTTTACGCCAGAAGAAAACGTCTGGGTAATCCTGCTGAAATTAAAATATCCTTAAACTGTCCTGGTTCTCTCTCTCTCTTTTCTTTCAGCCTATAGGAAGAAGGAACGTCCTGAGATTTCTCTGCCGTCAGACTTTGAGCACACCATCCACGTCGGTTTTGATGCTGTTACTGGGGAGTTTACTGTAAGTCTGTTAACATTCCCCACTGAACGCCGCTCTAATTATCGCCTCAGAGCTCATTGCTGCGTGAATATTTGTGTGTTTGCTTGTGAGCTTGATGGAAGCAGACACACAGAATAAAAGTTTTTTAAAATAGTCACATCAAACAAAGGCTGTCTTGTTGAGCTGAGTCACTTGATCCGCCTGACCAAGCTCTTTTATCTGCGAGTCCAACGCTGTGTGCAAAACTTTAAAAAAAACTCCCATCTTCTCTGTGAGTGCATGATTATTGTTTCCTTGTTTGCATTCTGGGTCACAGTTCAGTGATATATGTGCATGCAAAGAGTCCTCACTGTCTGCTAAACAGGCAGCGGCGATTATCAAAGCATGGGTGGAAAATGAAGGAAAGGTCAGAGGAGGGATGGAGTGATGGAGCAGAAACTGAGCGGCTTTGTGATGGACTGATCCTGACAGAAGAGAGCGAGAGAAAGAGCAGGAAAACAAGGAGATGTGACCCAGTTGCTTCACTGAGGCACAAATGCAACAAGACTGCTGTGTTATACATCCTTCCTGGGTTGAACAGCACTTATTCAATAAGTCCATCCCTTATTGTCATCTGTACACTGTTTTTTATTTTTACTTTGAGGTATTTTCACTCCAGTCTGATTACCTGATCATGACAGCTTAAAAAACCTAATTTTAGACAAATGTCAAACAAAGGAAGAGCTGAAGAAAAAAAGTCTCCATCTGATTAACATGTTTTCAGGAAGTGGGGCTCATGAAAGTGACCTAATTAAGAGAGACTTCTCAGAAAATGGTCAGGAATAATTAGTCTGAAAGAAACTTAAAAAAACTTTCAGAAAGTCTGGAAAACTATTGAATTGGTCAGCGGAGCTCAAACGTCTTATTAGACTTTAAATAGTAAGTTTTCCCAACAAGACATTTCAAAACTTCAATGCAACAGAACTTGGGCCTTTTATTGTCATAAAAAAACATAAAAATAACAACATAGCTAACTAAAAAGTCAGTTGTTTTCACCCTAAAGCAGTAATTATAAACATCAGCAGCGCTAATGCTAAAACGCTAACTTCAGTTCAAATTATATCTGCCGTTGAAAGACTTCAACACTGAAACACCAATTTAATTATTATAACTTAGATGTTCTATAATGACCCTAGATATTGTTTTAAGGTTTTTTTCTCTGCTGTCAGTTTTATTTTGCTCCTGTTTATTTCCTGTTTGGGGAAAAAGAAAGAAAGATAACCCACTTCAAAATAAGAGCATGAATAGAAATATCTAACTTTTTTTTTTTGGAGACAAAAAAAAAAGTGTAAAATGTAGTTTAGTTCAAATAGTTAAATTTGGACAACTTTTGTTTTACAAGCTGATCAGAATCACAATTGGAAAACTGTATTAATCACCTCACAGCGAGCAAAAGTAGCTCCTTCCTGATTGGCCCAGAGTGAAATGTTGGTCACATTTTGGGTTTGCATGAAGCTAAATGGCTGCCATGCAGTTGCTTTAGATTGTAAATACAAATGAGTGCATGAAGCAATAACTGTTAAAATGTGTGTGTTTTGCAGGGCATGCCGGAGCAATGGGCCCGGCTGCTGCAGACGTCCAACATCACCAAACTGGAGCAGAAGAAGAATCCTCAGGCCGTCCTCGACGTCTTAAAGTTCTACGACTCAAAGGAAACGGCCAACAGCCAGAAGTACATGAGCTTCACAGGTATGAAAACGCAACACTTTATTTATAGAAACAGAGACAACAGTTTATTTAAGACTTGGAGATGCTTTGTCATTGCATAAAATGAAGCAGGACTAATCGTCAGATTAAAATGTTTTTGCTTTATGTCTAACATTAACCTCCAGACTTAAACCAAGCGATGTGAGAAAAGTTTTTATTTTTATCTCCCTGCAGATAAAACTGCAGACGCCTTCAACTCCTCCATCGTAACGGTAAGGATAATTCTGTTATTAGTTAGTCACAAGCCTTAAAACTTGTATAAATGATCTCTGTTAATTATTCTCTAGTATTTTGATAGAAGTATATATTTCACCTTCTGTAATCTTAGTATATATGTTGTAAAGATCTTTAAAAGTCTTTAGATAATCATTATTTCACCTTCAAAATTTGCTACGTTTACCTAAGTGTGAGCTTTGGGGATTTTCTTCTAACTTCTTGTAACATTTATTTTATTGGATCTGATTGGTTGAAAGATTGCGCTCATTAACCCTGAAAGAGACGCCATCATTTTGCCCAAATTGTAAACATTGTCTGACGGACGCCCCCAAACCAAACGGCAGAACAGAGAGAGAGAGGGAGGCGCTCGTTGAGATGCTCTCTTCCTCCCTGCACTGTGAATCAGCATCTTTTCCTCCTTCCGCCGTTTGCCTGCCTGCAGCTTGGCCACGGGCCGAGCCTCTGAGCATCACACAGACACCGGGACAGAACAGAGCGCGGCTCCAGGAGCCCGACCTGAGCCGGGCTTTCAGACGCCGCCCACCATGGGCAGACGGAGAGGCAGGTTGAGTCGAACAACAAGCAGAGGAGGGAAGTTGAGCTGAAGATAGGCAGGAGAACGGCAGCGTGATGAGATTAAGAAGCAGCAGAGGAAGCCGCAGTGACAGCAGGAAGCAATGCTGGGCCTGGTGTCCATGATCGCTCATGCAACTGTAAAGTCACTGAGGCTCCGCCCATTCCTCCCCTGTGACATCACGCAGAGCTCCAAGGCCGTGTCGGAGACGCCCGCCATAGCAACCGTGTCCGAGGATGAAGACGAAGACGAGGCCGAGCCCCCGCCGGTGATCGCCCCCCGTCCTGAGCACACCAAATCGGCAAGAAACAAACACGCTTTCTTTATCGTTTTTTTAAATTCATGCATCCTTTAAACTTTAATCAAAAACTCAGCCGTAAAGCTGCTTTTGTACAAAAATATTTTTATACATATTTATTGAAACTGTCGCCTATATGAGTACCTCTCCTAACTGCTAACTAGAAACGACCAATCAGAGCCAGGAGGCGGGTCTTAGCGCTGTCAACCACCCTCCATGTGGCGTAGAGCCCATCATGAATGCTACGACTAGTTAGCATAGCATCCAATAATGGCAGATAATCAGTTTTCCTGTAACGGTAAGTTGTTTTCCCTTATTTAGCACATTTAGCAGCAATTACAAGAGCCTGATTGACAGCACTAAGAACCTTCTTCTGTCTCTTAGTTGTTTTTGGTCAAGAGGTAATAATGGTTCAAGGAGAAAGTGGAGTAGATCGATTTTATTTTCACAGGTTATCTGTCTCATAGCAATCTTTCATAACATGGTGACAGTTTTAACAAATATTTAAAAAACTTGTTTTTATAAAAGTTACATGCTGCAGCTTTAAAACTTTACATTTGAAAGTTTTTTTCACACAGTAAATAAAAATAGGATGGTTAAAATTATCCTCAATGCATCTGAGGCTGAACAAAATCCTCCTCTTCCATCCATCATTTGAATTTTACATACAAACTATTTCTGCTGCAGAAAATTTAATGACAGCTGCAATTTTAATTAATTTAGAGGAAACAAGAAGTCAGTTTTCAGTCACATCCGTGTCTTTTTTTCTTTTTCTTTTTTTTTTTTTGGTCTGACTGAACATGTTCCAAGTGAAATGATTGTCGGTATAATAAGAAGACAAAGCCTTCAGTGTTTAGATCAGTCACAGGGAAAATCAGGTTTTTATAGAGAAACTCTTTCAAAGGAGCTCTTTGTTGTCCTGCAGGTCAGGTGAGAGTGTTAAAACTTTTCCTTACCGTTCAGCTCAGATTTTACCTTTTGTCCTTTTAACTTGTTCTCGCTAAAATAAAACTTGGCTAAAGATCTTCTCTAAATTACACCTTAGTATTAAAGCCATGCTAAGAAAATAAAAAAAAATGGTAAAGTTACAAGAATAAAGTCATAATATTACAAGAATAAAGACATCGTACTATTCCAACAATATTATGATTCATTCTCATATTATTTCAAATTTATTCTTGTATGACTTTATTCTTGTAATATTATGACTTTTGTAATTGTGCTTTTTAAATTTTTTTCTTGGTAAGGTCCTAAGTACTAAATTGCTGCAAACTTTTTAAAGCTTAATTTAGTTTAAGTGCGCTGTTTGACCCAGTTTAACCTGTTTGTATCGTCAGATTTACACCCGCTCAGTGATCGAGCCACTCCCTCCTCCTTCCACCAAAGATGCAGCCACTTCCCCCATCATCCCACCAGCCCCCGCCGCCGCCGCCGCCGTTACCCCCGCCCCACCTGCAGAGGCAGCTCCCAGCAGCCCCCCCAGTGCAAGCCCCGCCCCCGGCCCGTCTCTGCCCCGCGCACAAGATAAAAATAAGAAGAAGAAGATGTCTGACGAGGAGATCCTGGAGAAACTACGTAAGTCTGGCTGCTTCTGTTCTGGTTTCACACAGCTGCACAAGACTCTGCAAAAACACAAAATATTACCAAGTCACTGTGTTTAGTGTCGAGTCCAAATATCTTATTACACTTTAAATAAGACAAGACTAACTCACCAGTAACTTTTCAGCAATGATATTTAATCTAATCTATCCAAATACTGATTATGCATCCTAATACTACTTTATTGATAAAAAAGTTCAATATTTTCTACATTTTTTAGAGCATAATAAAGTCAAATTAATTTCAGAAATTATTTCCTGTTTACCGAGTCGAAAAATAAACAATTCATTATTTTCCCTGATTGAACTGATATGTTCTGGTTGGTCAGAGTGATGCAAATCAAATAAAAATAAAGTTAAATCATACTA